AATCACATTTAACCCATTAACGTCCAGTGCGCCCTCATGCGCCCGGAAATAAAACCCCTCTGAAAATCCAGTGCGCCCTCATGCGCCCTGTCAGATATGACTCGTTTTTATTGGCTGTAGCTAAGAAACCGTAGTCCCCTGGGTATTGAAATATAACTGAACGTGACCTGCATAAATTAACCTTTCATTTGATGTTATGTTTTTCATTCAGCGATTCGTGTGTGATTTTTAGCGAATTTTTGAAAATAGCATTCAGTATTTTAGCGTGGCTTCTCGCGGATTTGACGATACTTCGCGTTCTTCCGATGAAGAAGAAGAAATCTTTCCTGGTTTTTCTCTCTCGAAGTGGCTGAAAATCGACAGGAACGGCAGAGAAGGCTACAAGAAAAATCTGCGTGATGTTGATGGAGAAATCGGGTAGATCTTTGATTTCGGCAAGCGCTAAGGGGGAACAAACTCCGATGTCCATATTTTTGCTAGCAAAGAAGAAGAAGACGATGAAGTAGATAGCGACAACGAAGATATGCCTTTGGGGTTCAATGGTCAAACACATTGAGTGAAATTGACATCGAAGAGTTTACCATAATTTCCTCATGGCCCAACGAAAGATCTGGGCGAGGTGCAACATCGAAAGATTTCCTTAATCTTTTCATCGACGATGGTAGAAAGCAAAGTGATAGACGGCGAGGTAGACAGCAAGGTAGGTGGGCTGGCAGGTGTGGAGTGTCGCACAAATATTCTGGAGATGCACCGGCAAAGAATACAGAATACAATGAAATTTACCACTGATAGACCAAGTGCAACGAACGTAATATACTCGATGTAGTGAACTGAGTAGTTTCCTCTATCTGATCAATCAAACTGTCTGCCTTCTGCAAAGTGCCACTGAGCTGGCTATCATAAAGTTGGAACAACTTGGATAAGGCCAATTTTGTAGCATGATGGAATAAATTGAAGAAATTTGTTAGGAGATCAGTGTAGGTTTTTTTTATGAAAAACTAAAAAAACACAATCATTCCAAGAGTTGTCGATAAATATATCAAGAAAGGAGAGTTTGCCATCATGCTCTTTTATCATTCTATTGATAATGACACATATACCAAGATTTTTCCCTAGGGTTCACATCCAGCAAAATTTTATGGCCTTCCCAAATTACATAAGAAACGTGAAAATCACAATCATTCACCTCTTAGACCTATTGTATCTTCTATTCGAGCTTAAAATTATAATTTAGCCAAGTATTTAAGTTCTCTTCTCGCCCCACTTCTACCTAACAAGTATTATCTTCCTATCCCGATGCACAATTTGCTATACCAGGGTACCAGCTTTACCGAAGAGACAGGAGGAAAGGAGGAGGTGGTCTCTTGGCTTATGCGTCATCTAACGTGATCTGCAACGGTTAAAAGTTCTTGGCAGCTACAAAACTATTGAATAATTGGTTTTGGACGTTGAGCTCAAAGGGAGACGTGTAATTGTGGCTGGCTTGTATCGCCCTCCTAAACCTCTTGTCAGCAAGTATCAACTGCAACTGGAGGAGGAGATTAATTACTTTTGTAACTGGGCTTCAATGCAGGGACATGCACTTGCGTTATTGGGGGATTTAAACCTTGATAGACTCCGCCCTGATAAGCCTGAAGGCAAGTTGTTGATTGATACAGAGGAGACCCATGGACTTGAGTGTGTAATTACGGAGCCAACTAGGATTCAAACTAGGGCTGGTAAGACTACCAAGACCCTCATTGACGTTATCTTGACTAATGAAGCTCATTTATTTGTCCAGAGTGGGATTTACGAACCGGGTCTTAGTGACCACCCACTAGTGTATGGCTTCATGCAAGACACAGCAGCTAAAGTCAAGCCTAGAATTATCAAATTCCGTTCAGTTAAGAACTTTGATAAGGAGAAATTTCAAGAACACCTTAA